CTACTTCCAGCAACACCAAATTACAAGCATCTTCACGATGAACAGAAGACCACTGTTTCTGTAAGTTCAACATGATACTTTCCAACACTTTAAGGATACAGGTTCATCCTAGAACAACAATCAAACCCTACCAAAAAGGGATGAAAAGCAGAGAAGGGAGAAGTGAGCCCTGCCTGGACCAACACAGATTAAGAAAAGCATCTAAGTGAATAAACCCAAAGAGAAGATTCTTGGAGTTCATCATCCAATGTGATCTCAATACACTCAGCCCTGTCCTTCATCACAGTTACAATGGAGCCCTTTGGTCTCTTGCTTGGGTCATGGACTGATGATGATGGCTCATAAACCAGATCAAATGATACAGTTTCTCACCCGAGTTCCCTCCTCCCATGTGGTCCTCTTCTTCCTGCCCAAGGCTACTGAATTTATGTACAGTGTATGCTGAAAGCACACTCACTCCTGGAAGGTGACACCTCATAGGAAGAATAGACACAGCTTCATTGATGATCGTTATAAGAAGCTCTGCCAATACCCTAGACTAAACCTCATGAAAGGGGAACTTCCATGCCAGGATTGCCTCCTTTCACTAGCACACACCTCTGCCTCCATGGCTCCTGTTGGTTTCCTGGAATTCTCTCCAACCAATCCCCTCTGTTAGCTCAGATTCCCACCTTCCCATTTGCTGCTGCCCCGTTTATGACATCATTCTCCCTCCAACCGTACCATCACCTGGTAGGTATTTGGGATTGCCATGGCAATGCCTGTAAACAAATTTGGATCATTACAGGTCACCTGTGACCAGTGACCAGTAAGTACTGTCTGATACCTGACACACTTGTGACTCAGGTCAGCTGATCAGACAAGGACAACCAATTCTCTGGCTCCATTGTACTCTGGACTGCTGATACTCTCCCTCTGACCATGACAGGTAAGGAAAGAAATTTTAAAACATTAAAAAAATAAGGGATCACTTCTCCCTTATTTTGACTATACTTTTAAATTTTTGTGTAATGGGTATATTGTTGATGCTGATAGAGATATTTGGAATTGAATGTCACATTTAGATTTGGTTCTTGCTGGGGTTAGAAAATATGGAAATAAAAAAGACAAATTGCAGAGATGACCCTGGATGTACACAAAGGTAGTTTGGAACTGAATGTTACAGATAACCACAGATTAAATTAAAAGGCATGAGACATTATTATATCCCAACCCATTATTATGTAGCCACACTGTTGAGATTAGTCTAGGTAAAGGTTTCCTATCACATGTAGAAAACAATATCCAGCTCTAGTCCCTGGCTCTTACACTCTATCCAGCCAATCTTCCACAGCATTCTCCACATTTTTTGGTTGTGTTGAATGTTATCAACATGGGCTGGGTACTCCACAGTCAGTTGTTCTCTGGACAAGAACTGACACACCAGTGTGTGCAGGAATTTTCACAAGGATTCCCTACTAGGAGAGTTACAAGAAATTAACAATTACTGTGGAAGTGTTCATTGAAGAATCAATTTAACCAACTATTAAATTAAGAAATAATATTATTCAGAGATGAACACCACAATACATTTGTAGTCGCAAGATATCACATGAAACACAGGCAATCAACATGACATGTTATCAGCAGGTTGTATTCATGAGTCATATTGGATGTGTGCTGAATTTATATAAAAAAGTAAGAGATAATGACTTATCTAAAACGTAGTGGGGAACAGGAGGAGCTAGATTGACCAAGGGATTCTTAGCTGAATACAGTTCTTATCTATGAAATTCCTGATACATCATTTCATTAAGAAAGCTCAGAGTAGAGCCAAGCTTGGTGGACATGGAAAGAATCTACAATGCCAGCACTCTGTTATAAAGGCCGGCCAGTCTGTGTGATTTCAAGGCCAGACTGATCTAGGTAGAGAATCTCTCTCTGCATAGAGGAAGATCTGCACTGAACAGGACAAAGGCACAGGCATGAGAAGCTGTCTAAGGTTCTCCTCCTTTAAACACTTCTCTTATTGGACACAGGTGTGAGGCAGTACCACAGCAGGTGTCAGAACAAGACAAAGCAGGGAAAGGAAGACTGTTGTCAAGGACAGAGCAAGGGTCAACATGGATCAACTAGGAAGTGCATGACCACACAGGAAGAACAGGCAGCTCATCAAATGAGTGTCATCCTATCCATTACCAAGAATCATTCTGAACCATTTGTTTGGCATATGTGAGGGAAAATAGATCTCAGACTCTCCCAGATAGGACAAACTGCAGATAACAAAGCTTGTCACATAAGCCACACAGATTCCATCTCAGTGTTCTTCACACTTTCCTCTTCCTTCCTACAGAAAATTTCCAACGTGCACCTTTCTTTGGGACAGAATGTGCTCTGTAGCACTCTGCACCTGTGCTGAGGAATGCCACACCCTTAGTATGAAGTGTGTGCAACTTCTCCAGGGTCTCCATCCCAGCTGTGAGTTCAGCATGACTCCTGCCATTGGACTCCAGTACTTGTTGCCAGCAGCTCATGGACAGTGCCTACTCTTACTTACCAGCTGGCACAACCATGGTGACTGCGCTGACTGACCAGGGCCAGAGCTCTGCCTCAGCACTCTCCTATCCAGTTGATCTCTAGTGGGATCCCACGGGAAACACTGCCGGGAGGGGAGCTTCACTCCAGGACTTCACTGTAACTGTCATTGACCAGAATACCACATTCTTCTCCTTGTCTATGACAGACCAAGGTTATAATATTTTAAATCCCATTGCCTTAGTTCTTTCCTATCCAACACTGTCTGTCAGTCTTGTTTAGGCCACACCACCACACTTGCCAAATCAATGATATAGCCTGGCACCTTCCTACCAGGAGGGAAGCCACTTCTATTACAATGACCTCAATAGCCTGGGCCCTCTGATGGCTGAAGAACTCAGCCAGTGCTTGCAAGCCTGTGTCTCTGTGTTCTACTCTGGGGGTCAGGCCTCTGTCCTGCAACCAGGGATGGTGATGATGCCAAAGGAGATTCAGCCAATGAATGTCCAAACACCCTTCTCCACCTCTGCCATCTACTACTCCACACCTGCTCAAGAGATGGCAGACACCAGTATTCAAGGTGGGTAAAGCCAGGAGGGGAGGTGTGAGATCAGCACTCAAAGGAGACACAGTTCAACCTTTCAGCAGTGGATGTCTTCCCTGAGGAAAAATGGGAGTCCTGAGAACTCAGCCTTTGCTCTGGCTCACCATCCCCATCGTCCATCTCAAAAGTAAGAAACATTGTATGATAGGGACTGACATCCATGCTTCATTAAGACATGTTCAGCTACCATACCACAGGCACACATATCACTGCCTAAGCCAATCAGTGCCATGCTCCATCACACTATAATCACCTCCTTTCTAGGATAGTGCTCAGGGTTCTAGAAGACATCAATAATTTTATATTTGGTTAGCACTTGATTTTCCCTGAGTTGAAATCGGATACCTGAGGAACACTACTGCAAATCTCTCTCTCTCTCTCTCTCTCTCTCTCTCTCTCTCTCTCTCTCTCTCTCTCTCTCTCATACTTACTCACTCTCTTGCTGTATCTTCTCTCATTCTCTTTTTTTTCTGTGATTCTTCAGGGATGACACAAGTCCATTATCATGTACCCATGTTCTCTATAACAAAGTCACACTCAAGCAACACTATTTCACTTTCTTCAAGTCATTTTCATATCACTTATAACACGTCTGTGAATTGGGAGCTTGAGGAAAGTTGGGGTTCTTAAAGGGCTTGCATTTCAGGAGTGAAGGACTGGGTTTGCACACTGAAATCCACAAAAAATCCAAACATCTGGTTGCACATGAGTAATGCCACTACTTGAAAGAAGTCAGCAGATTGTGTAAGTTTTGGAAACTATAGACCAGACAAACTGCTTAATAGCACACTTCCAAATAACTGAGAGGAACTGTTTCAAAGTCAAAAGGAGGGCAAGAAAGGACCACACACCAAGAGAATTCTGTAACCTTCCCATGACCACGATGCATGCTCACACCAATAAGTGATATGGAACACACAAACATCGGAGAAAATAAGACATTGCATGGTCACCAGAAACAACTGATTAGTTACTAAGTGTCTGTAAACAGAGATGCTACACTTGCCACTCAAGCAGATTTCATCGGAATGCCTGGCCCACTGCTGCAGGAGCCTGAGTGCTGAGGTCCACTGAAAGGAAGGGATCATCTCACTTACCAGGCACTGACTCCTTCCTTGACACTTTTCCAGTGGTGGAAATGGAGAGGGCCCTTGGATAGATATCTTCAGGCCAGACACTCTGTATGCTGCAGAGTCCTGACTTCTGAAATGACTGCACCCAGGATACCCAGATGAAGACACCACCTTTTGATGGGGACAGGTCATTAACTGCCCTTATTCACAGTCCTTCAGAATTCCTGGCCTTGCCTCCAGCTCCAAGCCTGGAACAAACAGAGAATAACAATGTGGAAGAAATGATTGCTGAGCAATCAAAGCCTCTGAATGCCTATGAGGGCAGAACAGAAAACCAAGGCTCATCACTCCTCCCTTTAGCACACTCTGACATGCAGCAGCCCCTGAACTACACTGATGCTGGGAGACTAAGGTAGAAGCCAGATTCTGATAATGCCATCTTGGGAAGCAACAGCCTTGGTCTAAAAGAGACTGGGTCTGTACAGAGTGTCATGGTCTCAAGCATGACATGGAAGACATGACTACAGTGCTGTCAGATATTCACCTTCCCCAAATCTTAAACTCCCTCACTGACGTAGACCACTGGGAAAATTCCCCAGCAATCCATTCCAAAGACTCCACAGTCCTCAGGAGGGATCAGGCCCAGGAAAGTTCCAGCATCACTGGACTCATAAAAGGTGAACAAGAAAGACCAGAAAGTATCTCATCTGCTTCATGGAGCTCTTTAGGCCCAAATCCAGCACCAGGACCTGGTGAAGGGAGCAGAGCCTGGAACCAATGCTTGGGCCAATGAAGGGTATATTGACGACATGGACAACAAATGCTTGGAGGGCAAAGCTCAGAAATCTGTACCCAGCAGGCCCATGGTAGCTAGGGTGCAGGGGCAAGACAGGATCAAGAAGACCAAAGAAAACAACTTCAGCAACATACAGCAGCTGAAGCCATCAAGACACAGAGTCAAGACACAAGAGAAGCCCACTATCCCCAAGACCAAGAAGAAGAGGACTCCACCTGAGCTCAGCAATGACACCTTCAAAAAGCCTCAAACTCACCTGGGAAAGTACATGCTGGCATCCACTCAGGTCCTTCACCCACGAGGGAAGAAGTGTATTGACAAAACTTGCATCTCCTCCTCCCGGACTCTGCTAAACTTCAGTGCCATCAAAGATGTCTGGATATGCAAAGCCACCTCATCCCTACTGGATGTGCCATGTGATGGCTGAGGCCCCGGTAAAACCCCGAGTAATGCTCAGAGACCAGAGAGCAATGCTCACAGGGAGTGTCCATCTCTATCCCAATATGAGCTGCATCCACCTGGGAAGGTCAAGTTGGTACCTCTGCCTTTTCCAGCCCCGGACAAGCCGCAAGCCAGACTGGTTTCTAGAAAGCCTCTCTCCCTGGCTTCATGCAGGCCCCCTGCAGTATACCCTGTGAGGCCTCATTCCCACTCGGCTCAGCCTACCACACTCAAGCCATCTAAACCAGCTCCTGCCAGCACTTCTTTGTTGGCCTCTGACAAGCCAGTTCTGCCTATTGCTACCAGTGCCACACGAGCTAACATAACCAACCCCATCCAGTCTTTCCCTGGGCCTCAGCCAGCTCTCTGTAGGCCAGAATCCTACAGGGCATCATCTCACACTTCACTACAGAAGGAGCTTATTTTTGCTGCCAAGAAAAAGGCCCCATCACCTCCAAAATCTCAAATCCATTATCTGGTGAAAGATTTTGGCTGCCAACCAATTCCATGGAGGAAAGTCGACATTCCAGGGCCAGTCATCTCACAGCCCATCACAGAAGAGCAGAGACCAGAGCGGGAGGCCATGAAGAGGTAGGCTCCATGGGAGAGAGAGAATGCTGCCAAGTACACTTCTCTGGGAAAACCGCAGCTCTTCCTTCGGAGGCAGAAGGATATGGAAATTTTTAGATATTATGACTATGTCATGTAAGTCCTAGCCTAGTTTTTGGAACACAGTGCTATTCAACACAGACAAGGTGAGATATAGACATAGATATACATGTATACATTGAATTACAATCTTGGTGAGTGTGTAGATAAGTAGGTACATATGGAGTTAAGGAGATTAATTGGTAGATCCAGGGATTTATATATAAATGGTCAGACAGTTTCTATACTTGTAAATATTCGAAGACACTAAGAGTGATTGGAGAAATTAACTCAGTTTTATCATCCATTAGTAAGTGTATATAGAAGGCTTTGATGGTTTCTTCATACCTTTGCTATTGTTCTTTAATGTTTCCAAAGTAGAAATATGTGTTACATAAATTCATCATATGCTGTAAATCACTGGTAGTATTATTTAAGGTAAAAGTAATTAGTCAAAACCTGTAGTGGTTATAAAATTATTCTCCTTGACTTTTATTTTCATTATACTGGTTTTTGAACTTGGTATGTTTCCTATAGTGTATATTGTATAGAGAACACACTCCTGTTCTTCCAACACTTCCTTCCAATTTCAACCACTTACCCTAGTCCTTTAATCATTACTGGTCTGGGACAGATATCCTCCTAAAATTTCATTAAATGAAATACAGGATTCCATGTATACACTATCAAGCACCCACCTTAAAGAGAAAATATACAAGGTTGAACATCTTCCTGAGAAGGGATTCATTCATAACAATGTATGTCTGAAGTTGTATCCATCTTTGAAATCATCCTTTTCATACTTTAATTTATTTTGTGTGTGTGTTTTTGTGTGTCATCCATCACTATGTATTATCCTGATTCCTCTTCAATCAGAACATCTGTATGTGCTTATTATCTTTTTTATTTTATCAGAGTAGAATGTCTTTTTCTTTGTCCTTTACTACCTGGGTTGCCTGATTTCTTATGATTTATGTATTTTATCTAATTCTATATAATCTAGATATTAATACACTTACTGAGGTAAAAATAGCAAAGATGTCCTCCTGTTCTCTAGGACCCCCTCTCAAATATCTGTTTCTTTTTCTAGTAACAAATGCTTTACTTCCCTGAGAAAACATCTGTTAACTACAACCAGGAATTCTTGAGTAGCTGGTGTGTTGCTCCATCCTGGCCTGTCTCTGAACATTCAACACTTTGACATACTTTGCATTCTAATACTATCAGGGTTACTCACACTGGGGCCTCTGAGGCATTTGGCATTTCTTTTTACAGTGTGACACATAGGAAATATAACTCATTTGTTTATTAATTTGCTTTTAGTATCTTGAAACAGGTTTTCTCTCCATAACCTTGCATGTTCATAAATATGTTGATCAGACTTGCTTTGAACTGACTAACATCAGCCTGCCTCTACCTCTGCAAATATCACTCCCTTTGCAATTGCACTGACCCTGGCCCTGGCCCTGCCTGAAGAGTGCTGAGACTAACAGAATGCTCCCAGAAACTAAATGGAATCAAGTTTCTTTCTGTCTATATGAATACCCGGATTTCCAAGCATGATTGGATGAAGAGGACATGTGTAAGCCAAGGTGCATTTTTGGTACCTACACTAAATCCTCCAAGAGACTTAACTGAATGTGTTTACAACTGGAATTCAACTTTGACTGATGTTTCCGAATATCAGTAGCTGTGGCAGAGATCCTAAGAATGTCATCCAGCTGTTGTAGGGGCCTAAGTGCAGAGGTGCACTGAGAGGAGGGGGCATCCCACTTACCATGTACTGACTTCTTCCTTCACTCTTTTTCAGTGGTGCAAAGGGAGACTTCCCTGGGAATCACACCTCAAAGCTAGACACTCCCTCAACTGGAGAACAGAACTCTGCTACTCCTACATCCTGCATTCCCAGATAAGGACACCAACTATTGATGGGCACAAGTCATTAACAGTCCCCATCCACAACCTTCAGAATTCCTGGCATTGCCACAAGATCCATGCCTGGAACAGAGAAGGACAACTTGCATGAGATGGCAGCAAATCTATCAATGCCTCTGGATGCCTATGAGTGCACAAAAGAAAACCAAGACCCATCTCTCCTCCCTTTAGAACACCCCGACATGCAGCATCCCTTGCATTTCACTGATGCTGGGAGCCTAGGGCAGAAGCTTGTTTCTGACAATGCCACCAGGGAAAGCAGCAGTCATGGTCAGGATGAGCCTGGGACATGCACAGTGTGTTGGCCTCCAGCATGGACTTGCAGACATGACTAAACTGATGGCAGAAGTTCACCTTCCCAACTGCTTAACTCCCTCTCTGAACTAAACCAATTCCAGGTTCCCACAGCCACCCAATGCAAAGACTCCATAGTCTTCAGGGGCAATCAGGCCCAGTAAAGATAAGGTGTCATCAGCACACCCTTAAACCAGTTGAGGATGAAGGAAGAGAGATGCTCTAACCTGCTTCATGGATATTCTCTAGCTAGAATCCATTATCAGGACCTTGTGGAAGGAGAGAAGCTGTGGCTAGTGCTGTGGCCAGAAGGAGATATTGACAACACAGACAAGCAAATGGAGGGCAAAGCTCAGAAAGTCACACTATGTACGCTCAGTAGACCTAGGGTTCATGGGCAATATGAGACCAAAAACAGCTAGAGAAATCAACTCCACGAAAGCTGAAGGAGCAGACGCCATCAAGTCAGAGTCATGGCAGAAGAGAAGCCCACTGTCCTCCACAACAAGAGGAAGTGGAATCCACTTGAGCTCAGACATCATAGCTTTAAAAAGCATCAAACACACCTCAGCATGCACATGCTGGAGTCTGTGAAGGTCTGTCACTCACTGTGAAAGGAAGGGTGAGAAGAAAACTGGCATCTCCTGAACCTTCAACTCTTTGTGCTACTCTGTGCTCTAATAGTATCAGAGTTTGTTACACTTTGGCCTCTGAGACATTTGTCATTACCTTTTTCGAGGTTTACGTATACTAAACAAAATAATTTATTTATTAACTTACTTTTAATTTCTTGAGACAGGGACCCTCTTCATAGCCCAGCATGTCCTAGAACTGACTATATCGAACAGGCAAGCATTGAATTCACAAAGATCTGCCTGCCTCCCCCTCTGCCTCCACATCCATCTCAGCCTCTGCCTCCTCTTCTGTCTCCACTTCTGCCTCCTCCTCCTCTGCTGCCTCAAGAGTGCTGGGACTAAAGGAATGCTTCAAGAAGCTAGGTGGAATCCAGATTCTTTCTGTACATGTGAATAACATTTCCATGCATGTCTTGATGAAGAGGCCATGTGTACTCCAGGGTGCATTTTTGGTACATACCTAAAATCCAAAGAGACAAAACCACATGTGTTTACAACTGTAACTTAACTCAGATTCATCATTTCCTGAAAATGTGCCTTATTTCAGTTGTAGGCTGTACTTGCTACAATACCTGTGAAGCACTGACCTCTAATGAGGTGTGCTCATGCTATCCTGTGTATTTTCTGCTTTTGTGGTAAAGTTATGATTGCTTTTCTACTTCTAGGAAGTGGGGCATCTGAATTTTACTGAGGAATTATATTCACCCTGTTCATAGAGTTTCATGAATTCATTGTAAATGAATTTCTAAACGGTCTTAAATAAATAAAAAACACAAAGCCAAATATAGGGGTGAAAGCCTTAGAGATCAGGGAATTAGTGATAGCCACCAACCTTACCTCTCCAGCCCTGCAGCTACCAAAAGTGAGCTACTTTCTCTCTTACCCTCACCTTTATTGCCTTGCTGTTCTGTGTTCTCATTGGCTCTTAGCCCTGTTACCTCACTTCCTTGTCAATGCCTGTCTGTACAGACCTCCAGGTTTCTATAGTTGGTGCTGGGTTTAAAGGCGCCACACTAGGCTGTTCCCTGGTGCCTCCTTGAACACATAGTGACCCTGTCTGCCTTTTGATGGGATTAAGGTATGTGCTACCACTGCCAGATTCCTGTGTTTACTTAAAAGTGGCTGGCCATTTTCGTTTTGATCTCCAGGCATGCTTTATTTATTAACATGCAAATAAAATATCACCACAATTCAGCACAAATAAAACATCACCACATTTCCCCTTTTTGGTCTCTTAAAGATAAAGAATAAAATTTATAAATAATATAAGAAAAACTATATACAATAAGTACAACAACTATATACAATATATACAAGCAATAAATATATCAGCAATTTGACAAATTTAGAGAAAATATTACATTATCTACTCTATTTTTTGTGAGTTTAAAATGTACCTAATTCACTTTCTACCTGAACTTGTATTACCAACAGAAAATTGTCTTGTAATATTCCTTCAAACTTACAAACTTTT